CTTCCAAGCCCTTCTGGCCGGTGGAAGCCTCAGTCTCAAGCAAGACATGAGAAGAGAGAGTAAATGGATGGCTTGCGAAGAGTATGCTGAGGGATTGTTGTTTTATAGTACGGTAAGCTAAGCTGCTAGATTCCTTCAGCTTTTGGATTGTGTATTCGTTTTGTACTATTTTATAATATATGGGATGGATGGACCATAGTAGTAGCGTACTTCTTACTCTACGCGCTTAAGGCCAAAAAGCAGGTTTGATTCTAGAATCTAGGCTGCAACTTATCCATGTTCAGCTACCTCTAGCCCAAAATCAGCCTAATCAGATTGGAGGTATTCAATTTAGACTTTTAAAGAGTATATAAAAGTCTAGTGGTATTAATTATGACTTTTAAAAAGTATTTAAAAGTTTGGTGGTATCCATTTATGACTTTTAAAAAGTATTTAATATTTATGACTTTTAAAAAGTATTTAAAAGTTTGGTGGTCCAAAAAGTTAATGACTTTTAAAAAGCTTATTAAATGAATGACTTTTCCATACTTTTAAAGCTAATTGTTAAGAGCAAAAGTCTTGCCAATTTACTAGTGACTTTTATCAACTCTATGAAAGTATCTAAGAATTTGTCAACTCTATGAAAGTCACTCACTTAAAAAAAGTCTTTATAAGTATGAATTTGATGCACCCAATGAATCTCGATTCTAACTCGAGGTTGAGGTATTGGGTTATGAACGTTGGTGGGTTTTGGTTCAGCTTGGAATGCTCCATTCCATGTTTCTCCTTTTCGTTGTCTTTGCTCTCACCTTGTGGTAAAGTGGTAGTACACAGACGAGTGCAGTACAATGCATCTACATTTTCTTTTCTGCAACTTGTAAAAGATTCGAAGGTCGCGTAGAATAAAAGAACGCGGCAAAAGAACAAAGATGATTCCATTTCCATATAGAAAAAGATTTATAGAGGAGACGAGCAAGAGAGAATGGAGAAAACCTTTCTTTAAAATTTATAATTGTGCGTAGTACAAAACTACACTTAATTGATACTAACAACAAAATGAGAAGTAATCTACTACAGAACTTCCTGGCAGTGAATAACAAAACCCAGAGAAGTTCTAACACGAGAAAAAAGAAACAAAAAGACATTTTGAGCAATAAAAATGCTACAACGTCCATCGATATGGTCAGAATTTTGTGAACTAAATAAGGGCTTGAACTCCAAATTGCTGCATCTCTCTTACCCTCCATATAGGGTAAATAGCACCTTCACCAAGTTCTTCAGGATCCACCTGTTGCATGGCCCAGGCATAATACACAGTGTGGATTGTGTCCTAATGAAACAATACGATTCGACAAAACATGAGTTCGTACATATAAAATATCCAATAAGCAGAGTAATGACACAACCGTGCATGCTTTTATAGAGAATTGTGGTTCAAGGGGGGAATATAACGCATTTAATATAATGTGTGTGGATAGGGGTGTGTGTGTGTGAGACAACGAATAATATTTACCTTGCCACCATCTGTTACTGCACCATTTTTATCACGTACACAATACACTTGCTGTGTTCGGAACTGTTAAATTCACCGAAAAGAGCCATCACTATCAGCTTCTGTTATTAAATAAAACTTAGAACAAAAACAGAAAAATAGAAAAGAAAATGCCTACCATTACAATGATTATGGGAGAGTCTCCCATCATTTTCGTCTCTCTTACTTCTGCATCAGATATATGTAGAATCTGCACCCCCAAAAAAATCAAAATTAGCTGCATGACAACATATACAGCATACGCCCTGAAAATGCTTCCATCACTCACTTCTACCATCTCAGTGTATAGAACTAAATTTAGGGTAGAAATGACTTGTCACCAAACTACAGTTAATGACACTAGCATACAAAAGTCGCTATTTAGTAACCTCAACTCTCAAAGTCATGATAAATGAGCTGGCATTGTGAATAATGTTGCCACATTATTTGAGAAGATGTGGCTAAATAAGAGACGAGATATATTAACGTTCTCTTCTGAAAAATTGATATATTAAAGTTTCAGTCCCATCCTCAATGTTTTAAGTTATTTACCTCCAATCTCACTTCTCATTTTTCATTAAGTCATTATATACCTCCAACCTCACTTCTCATCGTTAATGAAGTCTATTCTCCACCCAAAGATCAATACTATTTGACATGTGTTCCTAATTAACATCCCATCAGTATAGAATGCAACTATAATTGACATGGAGACACTAATATGTAGGAGGAAGCAAGTTTTCTACCTTGTGATCAAAAAAGATTCCATGGCTTCGGAAACCATCATGCTCAGCTTTACACCGCTCAATCACCTCCTTGCTACAATACTTCTTCAATGTCTCAACATCTCCCTACATTTAAAATGCACGTTATTACATAAAGATGAGAAACTATAATGGCACTCACATGGACCAACATTGAGATGATGATACGTTGACTGAAAACCATGAACACAAAAAAAAAAACCCAAAACAAAAACAAAATATGAGAGGAGAGAGAGAGATTGGGGATGGAACCTAAACAAGCTCAGCTCTCACAGCACTAACCTTGATGTAAGCATTAAGCACAGGTTTGACAGCATCCTGTACTTCTGCCACAAAGTCTGGTAAAGAGAAGGATCTAATCCATCCAAACATTACAATTAGAAAATATATTAATCAAGTTATTCAAATAAGTATGATAAGAAGCAGCAAATGGCAATGCGATCATACGGATCTCGGCGGCGTATCTCCTTGATTGATGCAGCAGTATCTGTTTCTTGAAAAATAGTTTCATTTAAACTGTCAAAGGAAAATGGTCAATTCAGCACTCAAATATTTACAATTAACTCTTTAGCGAAAAAATTATAATTTTCTGGGGGCAAAACAAAGAACATTTACAACCCTCCCTCAGAAGAAAAAAAAAACTATTATTCGCAGATAGTGAGCAAAAGAAGAAGTAAACAAAGTTTAGCAGCATACTCCTGAATTTTGTGAACAATTGGACTATCGCTTGTCTCCCAATGTTCCCGCATGTCCTCAGCAATCTGCCAATTTCAACAAAGACAAGCAATACAGCAATCTCAAGACAGGTGGTACATATAAACAAGTTGTCAAACATACGGCCAACTAAAATTCTATTCAATAGAGTTTTATGACAACATCCATGCCTGCCGTAACATGAAAAAAAAACAGAAGCAATACATAATACAGCATGTCTTATCCACTCAAAAACATGAAGTACGAAGTGGAGTTTTTTTTTAAAGAACAGAAACAATAATTGAATTGGAATTTACCTCCTGGGTTTTTGACGTAACAGGTTTACGTAATTCATCAAAACGCTTGAATATAGGATTACCTTGCATCTAGGTAAGAGAATACAAACAAAAAAATCAAATAATTTATTTCAAATAAGAGGAAAGACAACTAGATATAACTTTTTTTGTAATATTTAATGGGCAGAAAGAAATTTCACCTTCATTCTGAAAGCCTCCCACTTTTTACTCCAGCGAGATTGGGGTACAGCAACAATGTCCGTTCTTGTACTTACTTCAACTTGAGGGGTGGTAGAAGGATCGTACTCCAGGTGCTTTCTCTTAGTTGGATTACCACTTAACTCATCCTTTACAATGTCATATCCCTTTTTAGCCATGTCAATAAACTTTGCTTCCTTAACTCTAGAGAAAGCAGAGGAAAAATACGAGGAAGAGACACTTGACCTAAATTTGCCAAATAATGTTTCTTCAGTATTACTAGACCCTGACTCCTGGCGTTTCTGTTCCCCAGATGAGGCATTTGTTACATCTTCTGCATCAGCGAAATTCTCAGATTTAGCACCAGAAGGCCCTGAAGCCTGTTCGTTCCCAATTCCAAAGGTTCCTTTGACCTGCATAGAACAAAAAGAAGTAAACATCAAATGAACTCCAGCAGATCAAAGTATATAGCAGTGCAGATGCAAGAGGTAAAAAAGCAGACCTCCTCTGTGGCAGCCGTGATCTTCTCTTTTACATTGGCAGAAACCTGCAGCCATAATTATCAATGTAAATTTGAGAACAGATGCAAGTTTCTTATGATAAAAAATGCTCTTTTACATTGGCAGAAACCTGCAGCCATAATTATCAATGTAAATTTGAGAACAGATGCAAGTTTCTTATGATAAAAAATGACGAACAAATCCAGACTGAACAACAATGATATGCACCAGAAACAACATAATATTTGCACAGAAGTTGCCATCGAGAATTCTAACATATAGAAGCACTACAGATTTTAAGGCATTTGAAATGAGACCTTCTTTGCTGCTGCTTCAGCCTCTGTCCACGCACCATCCACCTGCTTGTATAGCTGCTCTGTTGTCTGCTTCGTTCTGCATTCGCCATTTCACCATCTCAGAGCCTCCATTTGGAAGTACCCAGCCAGACTTGACATACAAGGGTATGTCTCAGCCTATATACTAGAATACTAAAATTTATCATGGCAGGAAGTGAAAATATCAAATAATTACCTCACTTTCAGGTCTTCTTTAACGCCTTTCAGCTCTTCTGCTTTCTCTTTCAGCTCCTTAACTGACTGTTGAAATTCTGGATTCCTGCAACCAGGGCAATGGATGTGAGCATAATGACTCTCAATAATAATGACAATAGCAGAAGAAAATTTCATAATGATTAAAAAACTAAGAAGAGAAAACAATTCTGCGGCGATTTTAAAAACCAACTGGCAAACTAGAAAGATGCTATTAAGTTTTACTTCCTAACGGAAATGGAGACTCAAGCCAGTACTACAAGTTGCTCACTGTAAATTGAGAGTCAGCTGCACAAGGATTTATATCTCATAAAAACCACATGTCTAACGCAAAACAGCTCAACTAAGCCAAAAGATTGCGTTTTAGTTCACGAAACAACGTTTTTTATTTCTTATAGAGCAGAGGCTTAACAATTTGTTCCGAGTAAAACAAATTTGACCAAACATTTAAACAAAAAAACCAATTAAAATAGCAGATACATATTACATTAAAAGAACTCCTCAGCTTTTGGCAGCCCAATATGCTTTACCAATGTAAATGCCATAACATACAATACAAATGTACATACATATATACATATTAAACATGTAAAACAGAGTGAGTGAAAGAGAGATACTTGGTAGCTTCGCCTTTGACTTGCTTCGAAAATTCATTGAAGACACTGAATCGACGACTCGCCGAATACCCATTAGCTGAAATCAACCGAATTCTCGTGCTTGAAACCTATCTCATCAAATTCAAAACCCCCAACCCAATAAAAAAAAAGATATTAAATTAACCCAAAACATACTTAAAAAGTTTGAAACTTTGATTCGAAACTTCTTCCAAAGGAACGAACCTGTTGTTGGGGGGTCAGCTGATGAAAGAAGGGTTGTCTGTAAAGGTGCAAATCTCGCACTAGCTTTCTAGCAGCCATCAAATTGGGGGCAGGCTAAATTTTCTCAAACAGAGAAAAAACGATAGCCTTTTTCTTTTTCCGTTTTGTTTTTACCTTGGAAAAATTTGAAGGGTGGGTGTCTGAATTAGTAGCCAGTGTCCCAACTTGGGAAGGAAGAAAGGGACGAAGGAAGAAGGAGATGAACGTGAAAGTTACACTTTCACAAACCAAACCAGGCCTCGACTCTCTAGGGTTTCTGTTTCCTTTTCCCACCAGATTTTGGAGATGTCCCATTGGCCCAATACTGTTTTCTGAAAAAGGCCTGTTAATGGGAAAGCCCAACTCATAGTTTTTACCCCGATTATTATTATTTTTTACCCAAAATGCAATAATTTCTTCAATTTTTTCTTAAATATTTATATTTGTAGGATTTAATTGGTCTATAAAACACAATTAAAATGACAAGGCCAAAGTTAAACATGAGTCAAATTACAGTGATAAAAATGTATCTTGACCTATTTCCTTTTAATGAATGAAATTTCCCTATTAATAACACTTATAAAAATCAAACCAAATTAATAACTTGAGATTCACAAGGATTTTTAAGCTTAGGCAAAGGACACTAATGTACTGAGTTGAAGCAAACAATGTAATGAGTTCGAGTCCTAATATCTGTGTAATATGTGTGAATTTAGTATATTATTACCCTTCTTAATAGGATTTTTTAAATTAGTATCCTCCCGTCAAATGTAGGTTGATGTAGCATGTAAAATTCTTCTCTATTTGGTAATTTTAATGCCAAATAAATTTTGAAGGTGAATTTTTACTTCATCAATCAACATCCAGAAACTATTCAAGAAAAGGAAAATAGTGACAGTACATAAAGATTTGATTTGATCATGACCAAATAATATAAGTTCAATTCAAAATTTCAACCACTCATATAATGAGTCTCAAATGATCAATATGCAACTAGATTTTCAAACTGGATTTGATTTGCCATTGCCAAAACATTAAGTGTCAAGCTTTCAACCCATCATCAAGAATGAAGTATTCTATTTAGTATTTGGGCCCACATGAAACTAGATGGAACTAAAGCAACTGAAACAAAAAAACACAGATGGGTTGCTAATGGCAAGCCTCATTGGCAACGGAGAAGCGCTGGGCTTGAAGGGCTGCAGCCTTATCCGACACCAGAGCTTGAATGACCAAAGTCTTCACCTCCCAAGCACTGTACGGAAACCCCTTCCTGGCGTAAGAGTTCAGGAGGGCGGCGCTCGCCTGCTTCAGCAGCCTAGGGTAAACGTTCTCCTCGTCGTTCCTGACCGTCGCTTCCAGTAGCGTCAGATCAGATCTGTACCGTTCGTAGGCTCTTGATCCGAACACCTTCGACACCGTTGATGTCTGTGGGACCATCCTCGGCCACGCCTCCCTCCTGCTCCCCCAATAGCTGTGCAACACAAATGAACACCATCATTATAGGACACAATGGGCATTTCAGTAACTTCACCACAAGAGAGAGAGAGAGAGAGAGAGAGAGAGAGAGAGATTACTGTGGAGTGCATCTTCCTGTGGTTCTTGTGAAGAGAAAGCCTGGCCTTTGGGTTTTGGCTGTTGTTGAGGGTACAGAGCAAGCAATAAGAAGAAGAAGAAGAAGAAGAAGAACGAGTTGACCCAGTTGAGAAGGCCTCAACATATCTTCTCGTTGTTTGGTTTAGGATCTGAGTTTGTGCTGCTGAGAATATTTGGCATGACTCGGTTTCAAACTTGCTCTCTCTCTCTCTCTGTCTTTTTTTAATGCACTTGGTCCAGTCCGGTTTTACCAATTTACCCTTGTACGGTTGTATGTTTTTTATTGCCATCTGATTTTTAAATTAGTGGAGGGTGAAATTGTCTTTGGCTTAGGTCCACGTGCAAAAGATCTAGGTGTGTTGGAACATGTTTATATGCGTTCATCAGATTGGACATGTCACATTAACTTCTCTAAAGAGAAGTGACAAAGTGTAACGAGGTGAGAGAGTAATCTTTAGTGTCCGTTACTAGCACGTGGTTTTACTAATTTATTGATGTTGTAATATTTGTTTTATTAATATTATATTATATGAATTAGTAACAATATGTGATGCTAAAACATGAAACACTCAAAAACTTCTCACTTGTGAAGGGTTCTTTCTTCTAAGCTTCATGTTTTTCTAGTCTAGCTACGCTTTTGCTGCGTATAAGAAATCGGAGGAGGGGGTTTTATACACAAATAAGACTCTACTTTACTTTCCGTCCCTTAACGCAAAATATTGTTATGGTCATCCTTCATTTAGATATTGCGTTGCACCACTCGTTCTTCCGTTAATTCCGTTAAATCTTCTATCAAAATTAAGGGCAAGTTGGAAAATTTATATCAAATTTTAGGGCAAATAAGACTTTTATCTAGTCACCACCTCATTCTATCTAAACCCAACGACAACTCTCTATCTCACTCTCTCCAATGATCCTTTTGGGTTTTGTTTAGATTGTTTAATTGATTGAGAGGAAGACCAATTGATGAAAAAGGTTGGGAGGAGGAGATTGACGAACAGAAGGAGGAAGAAAATGAGAGAAGGAGAGAGTGGGTCGAGGTCGGAGTGGGTCTGTGAGGTTAGATCTGTGAAGGATGGCTGGAGGAGAGAGGTGGTTGTTGGGGCTGAGTTGTGCTGATTAAGAATCCAACACATGAAAAGACAAATACAACCCTATTTTTCACGAAAAAGTCGATGGAAATGACGAGTTCTGAAAGTCGAGGCATATAGTTAAAGCACCATCATAACAATTTTGGAAGATGAGACACTAAAAGTAAAATCGGGTCTTATTTGAGGGACCACTACATTTTTACCTGAATAAAATGATAAACTGACTTAATAAGAGAAAACTTCATATATAAATTTCATCTAACCAGATGGGATAGTTTGTGAAGGCATGCATATCTCATAGTTGTAATCTTCAATATGAATGAAGCAATTTTTATTTTTATTTATGAAGATAAGTTCAGGAGGAGGGAAGGCTAGGACATTCAGGAATTAGAAATGAAGCAATTCTTCAATGCCTTCAACATAGGAATATCATTTTCTCATGCAATCCTTTAGGCCTGCAAAGATTAGTGAAGTACTTTCCTGTAAGATTCGGAAGGAAGAGCGCATAGATAAAAGCATATTATACAAGCACCAACAATAATGTTAAAACGCGACGGTCAATAGATGACGGAACCCCTATAAACCACATATGGATGACATGTCAACTTTCATCTTTCAGAATATAAGCGCGACGGTCAAAAATTCATAAAGTTTCCAAGTTTCAAATACCCAATAAAAAGAAGAAGATATAGAATTTTTTAAAGTGGTACCAACCAAGTAATAAAGTAAACTAGTTAATCAGAGGGTTGGTTTGGCATAAAAGTTGAGAACAACAAAATTGAAGAGTATCTGGTGGTGTTGGTGTGAGAAGATGTAAGAATAACAGAACAACAAAACTAATCACAGACAATCAGGAATACTACGACTTCTTATATGCTACTGGTCATTTAAATTTGAAATGAAATTGAATTTTACGCATAAATTTATCATTCTATATGCTACTGGTCATTTAAATTTAAAATAAAATTGAATTTTACGCATAAATTTATAGAATGATAGGTATATGTCTAGAAAATAGAAAATATAGGGATCTATATTAGATAAGATCTTGATTTTAATATGTGCCCCGATAAGCTAATTATTACAAAGTCACAATACTTATCTTGGCATTAGAGCACAGAAATAAACAAAATTAAAGCGCTTTTATTAGCAAGATAGATAGATCGTTACATGCAGAAGCCCACGTAGTAGTTATTTACTTACTTATTAGAAGCTCAATCTCCTCTTACATAATTAGTACATTATGTACAGCCATATATATACATATATAAGGCCTTTTTTTTATTCTCTTGTCTCTACCTACCTTTATTCCTAGAAACCCCAAAAACAGAAAAAAAAAAAAGAAAAAAAAAAAAGAAACACTACGTGCCGCATTACATTTTAGCTTATCTCACGCACTCCATGCACATCTCTCAATCTAATAACCAAGGACGGACATAAGCCTCCCGCGAGGAGGAGAAGTGGCGCTCAAAAGTCTGCTCTCCTGCCTGTTGTACTTAAGGTTCCTTGCGTCCTCCCTCGAAATCCGGAAGGCGTTTTGCAGCACCTCATCTGGCAGGGCCCTTAGCACAGAGGTTCGCCCCGCTAGGTTGTTGGTCAAGGAATTGTCGTCCGTCTTGAAGGAAATGTACTCGAACCCTTGGTTGCCTGCCTGCGTGATGACGGCGTGGTTCTGGGGGATCAAAAACAGCTGTCCCTCTTTCACCTCGTCGTTCAAGATGGAATCACCGTTCTCGTTCACCACCTGAACCCTAGCGTTGCCTCTGATCGCGTACACGAGCGTGTTGGCGTTCATGTGCCAGTGTGGAGTGTAGATAGCGTTCTGCATGCACATAATATTGTATCATCATCAGCAAAAACAAATTTTGTATTTGTATTTATAATGTTAAAATTATGTATTTATATTTATATACACTTACGTTGTAGAGGACACCTTTCTCGGCGCTGAGGCGTAGGTGGCGGAGGATTGGGAGCTGGTTACTGTTCACGACGCTGATGCGGCCGGCCTGAGGGTTGTAGAAGTCGGCGCGTGAAGGGTCACCGATGTTCTGACTGAGCCTGGCGCTGCAGAAAGTCTCCTCAACGCCATTGTCCTGGCCGCCTCCTCCCTGCTGCTCTTGCTCCCTCTGTTTCTCTTCCTTTTCACGCTGACTCTGTTGCTCTTCCTGCTGGCTCTCTTGGCCTCCGCGGCCGCCGGCGGACCTGCTGAAGGGGCTGACGAAGTCGAGCTGGCCCTGCACTCTGATAATCTCGTTCCTGTTGTCGTTCTGGCCCTGGAGGTTCCTCGCGGTCTCTGAGTTGACGTTGAGAGCCTGTGCGAGGAGCTGAGTGTCGAAGCCGGAGAAGATGTTGTTGCCGTTGCCTTGCTGGCCTTTCTGGCCTTGCTTGCCTTGTCGTATGTAAAACTCGGCTTCTGGGTTAAACTCGTCTTGTGGGTTGCCAGCTAGGTAAAATCTCTGTATGTAACACATCATCCAATCCAATCAAGCCACGTCATTAATCAGTCAATAAACAAATAATTTAATGTTTTTAAATTAATTAATTAAGTAATTGCTTACCCTGGGCACTTCGTCG